AGATCATGACAGGATCATCTTCATGACAGGATCATCTTCTCTGCTTNTGCGCCATCTTGTCGCGCAATTTCGGCAGTAGTTATCTTTTAGGCGGTGTTTACAATCACGACGTAGATGGCCTTTTTCACCACAAATCCAGCATTGGGGTACACCACGCTGTTGAGGTTCGCGTTTCACAACCACCTTCTGGCAAGGGCATTCTTCATGTACTTGGCGTAGACGTACGTCACTTTTTGATGCTTGCTTTGCCGATTCAAAAGTGAGACTGTGCGCAACGGCATCCTTGAGTTTTCGTTTATCTGACAAGAGAAGGGATTGCTTGAGTTCCGAATCACGAAGGGCTTTGATAAACGTATCCAGGGCAGTTTCGTCTCTATGCTCGGGGTCTGATGTCGGATACGACAGCAATGTCGACCGTTCGATATCTTGTGCCAGCTGCTGAATGGATTCACCAGATCGTTGCGTTCTGTTTCTAAGCTGAGACCGATAAATCTGTTTCATGTGTTCTTCACCATAACGTAAATCCAACGCGCTAACCAGAACTTCATAGTTGAAGTGGTTCTCCGCCGGAATCGTCTGAAGAACCTCTGCTGCTGAACCTCGCAGAGCCAGTATCAGTGCTGTTGCTCGTTCTTTTCCGTTCCAACAGTTACTAGTTGCCGCTGCTTCGAACTGGGTTTTATAAACGTTCCAGGACATCTCTCCGTCAAATGCTGGTACCTTCAAAATTCTTCCGGATGCGTGATCTAACGGCATTGCCATTTTTTTGGATTGCTCCAATTCTCGCTTCAATTTGTCTATCTTGTGATCTACCTCAACGGTCTGACGATCAAATTTCTGCTCGATCATTTCTATTCTTGTTGACTGTTCTTCAATCTGTTCTGCCACTTCCAATTTTACGTGTTTTAGCTGGTCCTTGATCTGTTTTAACTCCTCTGTCTGTCGTTCGGACTGTTCCTTGATCTGTTGTTTTAACTCCTCTGTCTGTCGTTTGGATTGTCGTTCGGACTGTTTTTTGATCTGTTTTAACTCCTCTGTCTGTCGTTCGGACTGTTCCTTGATCTGTTGTTTTAACTCTTCTGCTTGTCGTTCGGACTGTTGTTCGGACTGTTCTTTGATCTGTTGTTTTATTTCAGTTGACATACTAAGCAGAAGTTCCATCATTTTAGCGGTTGTAAACGTGCCTGTGCTAATTTCATTGTCTTCGTCAGCACCACCAAACTTGAATTCGTCTGGGTTCTTACCTTCGTCAATGAGAGCTTCTCTCAGACGTGCTACTAGTACTTCTTTGTTGCCACTTGTGACAAGGCTTCGTTTCTGTAGTTCTTCTCATAGCTGAACTACGTTCAAACCACACAGTTTTGACATCGTGTTCTTTTTCTATGAGTAGTAACTCGCTAGTCGAAGATCCCACTTCTGACACCAATGTTATAATACTCGCTGTCGTAACCGATTTACGACGGGTTCAAATCTTCGATTGAATAAAATACTCCAAACAGTTATTAGTTATTAAACTTTATTTACAGAAGAAATCAACTAATCGTTTATTTCTAGCAAATTCAAATTAACACAACAATTAACTTTTAAATTGTTCAAAATCTATCGCTATGACAAAACAAATCAAATATCGCTTTAAATAATTCACCGAATCGCTATTCACAAAATCACAGAGTCACGAATTTACAAAATCACGAATTTCACTAATCACGGATTTCACTAATCGCTAATCTTGCGACGTGCGCTTATATACTCTTCGCAAGCGTCGTTTCTAGATTCTTCTAGATGGTCCGATTCTAGCATACTCCAGAATGCTCCAGTCACTAGAACATTCTAGAATACGCTAGAATCTAATGCGTTCGGTAGCACGGTTATAACAATATATACATATGAGTACATACATAAATATAAAAAAATTATTTTCCTTTTTTTAATTCTATAAGTGTTTTAAAAAATGGGTTTATTTGTTTTATTAGACTAGCGAGGTACCCACTACCTTGATAGGTTGACTAATAACAATTTATAAAACAAATTCTATTTTACGATTTCCTGACTTCGCAAAACGCTCAATTACATTTTCAACATTTACTAAAACGTTTCTGTGTACATTAAGTAGTGCCAATCCGACTAATCTGTCTGCTGTCATTCGTGTTCTTAGCCATGTTTTAATTCTTCGCAGAGTTGAGAAGCTACGTTCAGCACTGGCAACACTAACTGGACGTGCTTTAATAATACGGAACAACTTCTGAGTGATTGGATATTGTACCGGGTCACACAAATAAAAAACAACAGAAAGATCAGTAGTCAGTGATTTGACTCCTCCTCCGTCCTTGTTCATTCTAAAGCATTTGCTCTGCCACAATTCAACTTCCGATATAAATTCAAGTTGGGTACTAAGTCCAAGAATGGTACCATAGAAATTACTGATTGCTGAAACAGATTCGTCAACATCTTTATGATTTAGTTTAATAATATTTTCTGGCATCAAAGAATAGATTTGGAGACACTGCAAATTTTTTTTAGAAAAACGAGTATTTATATCCAATATCAGTGCATCAAGAAGAGGGATGTAAACTGATCGCCTGTAATATTCTTCCAATGAATCAGAAGGTACATTTTCACGGCATGTTTGTCGATGCACAAATCTTTTATAGGTAAAAGTGCCATCTTTTTCAATTATTATTTTTTCTGCTGCTCTAAAAATTTCCGAAAACATTTCTTCGCAGTTTTCTCTCTTTTTTTGTAAAACATTTAACAGGTCGTTAATGCAATTTTCTGCATCATGTAAATTTAAACTTTTTTTTTGAAACAATTCACTGAGGCCCTTTGTGAAAGAGAATACATGCACAGCACAGGACACAATAAAATCACTTTCTCTAATTGCTGTTAATAAAAGTTGTTGCTTTTGATGAAGTTGTTCTGTCATTCCATTTAGATATTTCTTTAGCGCATCAATTATTTGTGGAAGTTAAATACTAAACATCAGCAACGCATCATGTCTCTCAACCCATCGTGTTTCGCAGAGTGAAACCAGTTGTGAATTTATCATGTTCTTTATTATAAAATTTCGTTTTGCAGAAGCATTGAAAAAAGCAACTACTTCACTAATAACACCCAAACAATTTCTTATTGCTTGTACATTCGAACTTTTTGATAAAGTTAAATTTAAAGCATGGTTATAACAAGGACACCAGACTGCATTCACTGCAACCTTTTGAATTTCAACTACTACTCTTTTTTGTAACGAAGACATAACACTGCAACCATCTGTTCCCACACCAACACAGTTTTCTAGAAAAAGGTGGAACTTGTTTGCAAACAAGTTTATAACCGATTGACCAATAATTTTGCCGTCAAGAATAGGTTCAGTGTCAATTGATGCAGTAATATCAGATTGATAATTGTTGTCATGTAGACCAACAAATCCTGCAAAATCTTCTCGAACTGATCCATCAGGCAGCAAGTAACGTAATGTTATAGTCATTTGCGACTTATGTGATGCATCGGTTGTTTCGTCAATAGCATAATACTTTGATTCTCTAACGCGACTCAAAATTTGTTCACATATTTCCTCCCCACAGCATTTAATTAACGCATTTTGTGTGGTTTTGCTAATAAAGGTTGCTGATGCTCTTGCCGTTTTTAAACGATTTTCTAAATTTGAATCTCCACTGTTTATTCTAAATTTTAGCAATTCTCGGAAATTACCTTCATTTTTAATCACATCAGAATCTTCATCATCTTTGTCTAATATACTGCCATCATCTCTGTGTTCTCTGAATGGAATATTCTGCCTTCCTAAAAATATAATTGTTTACAATATTTATTGCTGGTTTATTATAGTTTTTTAAAAAACACCTCCCTGCTTCAACAGCTTCCTTGTGGTATGTTGCTTTGTCATGCATTGTTAAATCTCCATCTTTGCCAAACAGTTTAGCAAACACTTGTAATGGTTGTTTAACAAGCTTCTGAAGTTCCATTCGTTTGTGAGATCCTGCAGTCAGGTGGTATGAAAATAATGAGCAATATTTGCAGTACATTTTTCCAGATGAGAATGATTAAGATATTGCTTTTCTTGTTTATTTTTCTTCTTGTGAAGTGAATGTGGAATTTTGTAGTCAGCTGGTGGCTTCCATAGCGATTTTAACAGACTTTTTTTTGTCAAATCATCCATAAATGTTCCAACAAATTTTCCAATATCATTGATAAATCCAGCATTTAAAATCTTACTAGAAAATGCCTTAGCAATTTCAGCTGTTCCAGTCTCAGTTGAAATCTGTTCATTTTCAGAAAAAAGACTATCATGAGCTATGACTACTGAATTGACATTCATATTCCGGCTGTTGCTGTCCATATTATTACTTGTTTCTGTTATCTCATGTTCAACATGTTCAGTAGAAATACTATTACTTGTTGAAGCTTCTGCTGATGTGGTTGGAAGTGGAAGTTCAGTTGTTCCACCAACTTCAGTAGTGACAGTAGAATTAGTTGTAGATGCTTCAACAGACTTTTTTCTCTTCAACGTCACAAAAAATGAATCCAAAGTACTCTGTGGTTGTGAAAAATTTGTTTTCTTCATTTTCTTCCGATGATAATGGTTTGTTCCTAATATTTTCTAATTGTTCCTAACATTTTATAATATTATAAACAATAATTAATGAATGTTTTAATTTAAAAGTAACTTGTATTTACTATTTTTGTCGTTTTTAAGTAACACAACACAATACACAATCATGGCGCTTGAAAACGAAAGTTAGACTGTTTAAAAGTGAATAGTGATATAAAATTAAACAATTAAAAAGTGCATATTTTAAAGGATTACTTAACACTAAAATAATGGGATCCGTAGTAAATAATATGATTACTACATTACTCTTTTTAATAGAACAGAGTAGATTTAAGTTTACTGACATGATACGGGATGCGTGCTACCGCGTGCGTGCACACTTGCACCGTCATTGCCGATGCTGATACGATCGCGACGTATATGCCGTAATGTCTTAGTCACAAAGATTGTTATTTAAAGGGCAAATTGAAAAATAATTTAAACGTTTTTTTATTTGTGGGCTTGCCCGCCTTGCAGGCAGTTGTGGGTTGCCATGATGGATAAAAATCGCCCCCCCCCCTTACTAGATGACCTGGATCCGTTGACAGAATTATCATAGCATTACAATCTGCTTTATTGAATTTGTTCAAAGCAGTTTGATATTTTGCTATCTCATCTTCATTTGAGTCATCGTTTAATCTATCTGGACCTTTTAATTTGCCATTCACTACGTCCATTGCATCAGGAATGCCGCGTAGTATTATACAAACTCTTGATTTCCAGTTCAACCAATTACTTTTGCCTTCTAGGTGTTTGATTTGCACTTTTGTTTGATCCATTTCTTCTTTGTCTTTCAATTTGACCTTTTTAATTAGAAGCAAAATGTCTACTTTAAGGGAATGAGAAAGCACGTGTTTTCTCTTCACTACACTACAGTCTTCAAAGAAAATTTCTTTATTATTCTAAATTTTCTTGTCAAATCAATTAATTGTTAAAAAAACGTTATCTGGGCCCATAACCTGTTAAATTTCTTGTAACGTAAATCGTTTAATTAATTGATATTAATATAATATTGAAGGACATTAAAAGAAGAAAATAAACTTAGAATCGTTTTTTGACTCGTTAATTATCGACCGGAATAACAAAAAGTTCATTTTCATACCAAGCAAAGAACATTTAGTCAAAAAATAGGTTTATATCATGTTTTAAAAAAAAAACATAAAACTTAACAAAAAGAAGTAAATTACCGATCAATTTTTGGTTTATTGAAGAGAATTTTGAAAGAAAAAATTATATTTTGGTAGTAACAACTAAATAATATTGAAAATTATGACTTTTTTTATTAATAGCTGTGTTAATAAATCAACAGGTATAAATTTTAAAACTTGAAATAAAACAATGATTGAATAAATATAGCAAGAGAAGATTACAAATTAATTGTTTTTAGAGATAAATCAAATTGACAAACAATTTTTAACCAGAATATTGATTTATTACACGTGGTTGGCTCTGCTGAAAATGTAGAAGAGGGTGTTGATGCTGTGTAGTCATTAGCACCGGTGATCAGAGATGGGCAAATTACACACTACATTGTAATTTCGATACAATTACAAAATATTCTAAATATTGTAATTTCGATACATTTAATAAGAGCCAAATTACTAATTACAAATTACTAATTTTAAATTACATTAAATTAAACTACATCAAACCAGTTTTGAATAAATGAAGAAAAAAATTTGTTTGAAGTTATTTAAACATCGATTTTTCTTTGCGTTGATATTCTTTGATGTCATTTTTATATTCATTTATTAAGTTACTTTTTTCTATCAATAATTTGTTCAATCATTTAATAAATGACTGAAGAAAGAAAGACACTATTCACCACTACTTTTGATTTTGCATATTCTTTGATGTCATTTTCATATTCTTTTATTAATTTACTTTCTTTCAACAATTTGTTCGATTGTTTAATGAACGACTGAATAAAGAAAGAAAGAAAGGAAGAAGGTACGAAAGAAGGAAAGAAAGGAAGAAAGAAAAAAAAAGAAGCATCAAACATCAAAGAAGTAAACTTCTTTGATGTAGCTATATGACCATAAAACTTCAAAGTAGCAAATGAAATTTTTAATCAAATAAATTTTTAGAATTTAAAAAAAAATTTAGAATTTCAAGAAAAAAAAAATTCAATAATAACAACAATAATAATTTGTGTAAGTATATCTGTTCACTTAAACTATATTTTTTAGTCAAAATGTAATTTGAAATTACTTTGAAATTACCAAATTACATGAAAGATGAAATTACTAAATTACCAATTACTTAAAAAGTAATTTCGATACAAATTACAAATGTAATTTGAATTACGTAATTTCGTTACTTGAATTACATTACTGCCCATCTCTGCCGGTGATGATGTGGATGAAGCTGGTGTTTACGCAGGTTACAGACAATCCATAGCCGCCATGTTCATTTGCTCTTTTTTGTCAAGAAAGAAGTATTTTGGTTATCGTTTTTCTAAGTGGTGGATTGGCATGTGAGTTTGCGTCCCAACAATTAAATTAACAACACTTGCAATAGCAATCCACCACACCGTTTGCTAATTAAACGTATTTACATCCGTAGTGGCGTATCAGAAAATCAATAAACAAACCCATACTATTTTAAATTTTTAACTTAAATACTTTTTTAAAATAATTACTGTTAAAAAAGGACTATCGCTTATAACTTTAACCGTATAAACCAACATATCTACGCGAACACAATGTTCTGACTAGATATCGAATCAGAAGAAACTAAAATACTAAATAGCTGTTATATATGCAATAGCCCATATATGATTCAATGTATATGTAGCTAGAAAATATATTTTATTTAAGCAAACTTCCATGGTTAAAGATCAGGTAAAATAGTATATTTCAATTTTTGAGTAGGGTCCCTCAGGGCGGGGTTTTGAGCCCGTTGTTTTTTCTTATTTATATTAAAAACGACATTTCTTATGTATGTGGAAATATTCTACATTTTTAGATGATTAAAAAATCTACAGAGTATTGAAAAGTGAAGAAGACAAAAACAGTTTTACGCGTGATACTGGTAAATTTGGTTTGGTTTAATAATTGGAAATTGAAATCAAACACAGATTAAATGCCAGTTGTTAAAAAATTGCTCCAACAAACCGTGTTTACCTTACATCATTTTGGAAGGCAACGGATCCCTTCATCTGCCGGTGGTTAAAGAAATTTCAGATCTTGGAATTGTTGTAGATGATAAATTGAAGTTCAATAGTCATGTTATGAAGTTGCTTCATAAAACAAACTCTATGTTTGGTATCATTGCCAGGAATTTTAAATACTTTTCTGACGAAGCTTTTGTAACTTTATATAAGACATCGGTTAAGTCACACATAGAGTACAGTGTCCAAGTATTGAATCCTTACAAAGTCGGTTTAATAGAGGAGCTGGAAAGAGTTAAAAAAAGGGCAACGCGAGGACCGGTTGAGGAAATTGGAGATGCCATCTCTGGTCTTTAGACGTCTAAGAGCCGACCTTAATTTGTTATATAAAATGATAAATGGTTAGATTCCTGCCTACGTTGCCCCTACATTACTGGGGCCATACTTCAGGCTAATTTTAAGTTCTAGCCATAAAGACTGCCGTAAATTTTTTGTTTGAATAGAGTGGTAGAAGAACTAGACAAACTGCCTTCTGCCGTTGTCAATGCCATCTCCTTGAGCGATTTCAAGTCAGCAGTCGATAGTTACTAAGGTGACTCTAAGTTCAGCAGGCTATCTAATTTCTAAATCGTACTTGATTTGTGTAACTGTACAGTTAAATTTATTTTTGCTAGTTGAATCAAAATTAGTTTTGTTTGTTGTTCATCGATTTATTTATCATCATTTTGGTTGTTGCGTACGTTCTTATCGGTTCAAGTGTTTATTTTCAGCTCAATTCTGTTGACACCGTTTTTGCTGGTTCCATCTGATACATTTTCCTTTTCATTTGTCTTATGATTTTTCAGTATGTGTTTGGCGAGGGGCTATGCCCGTGAATCTTGAAATAATAATAATAATTCCTATGAGGTTTTCAATGGAACCGATGATCAATAAGAACATAATAACGATACTACAATAGATATAGATGGACACTAACTAGTTTCTATATAGATGGATACTACCCAAGATATATATTTGTTATATCATTGATACTATCGATAAATAAACACAGAAAGAACTTATATCACTCTATTTATAATTTCTCTATTCGGTTATCATGTATATTTATATTCATTTACATAGAATACCTATACAGGCCCTCGAACGCCTCCGCGCACATTTTCAGTGCTATATATATATATATATATATATATATTATATATATATATATATATATATAATTATTAAAAATTATCACCGCATTTTCCGCAATGTTGACTTTTTAACTGAGTTTTTCAATTTTTCGAACAATTATTTTATCAATATTATTCAATTTATTCAAATTAAAAATAAAATTTATTGAAAAATAATTTTATTATCAATTTGAATAAATTGAATAATATTGATAAAATAATTGTTTGAAAAATTAAAAAACTTATTTTTTTTCTAATTTTTATTCTTTAATAATCAGGATTTGACAGACGCAGAAACTGTTACAGCATGCAAGGCAGTAGCACAAAATTAAACAAATAAGTAAATAAATAAATACAAAAACGGAGAATGAAAAATGTTTAAACATGACAAATAAAATAAAACAAAATTAAATAAATAATAATAATAATAAAATAAATAAAAGAAAAGAATTTGACAATAAAATATAAAATAAAGTAATGGCATAAAAACGCAAATTAATAGACTAGATGATGACATAGTGAGTTAGTGAGGTGAACGATAAATAAAAACTAGTTGTGTGAATGATAAAGTTTTGTTGAGTGTTAATATGTTTGAGACGTCTTGTGATGAAGGTCTTTTTCTGATATGTAGATTGGGTGGCGACTTGATAGTTATGCTTGCGTTGACAAAGATTGTATGTTGTAGTTTTAATTGGTGGCAGTAGAAGATGGATGACGTGGTTGTTGTTTTTATTTTCAGTCTTGAATCGAGTGTGTTGAACATCTGAGTGACGTTAGGATATGATGCAGGTTATAAACTCAACAAAGCGGAAAATGTGGTGATATTTATTAATAACTGTATTGTATATACGACAATCTGAACCCAAATACATATATATGTATATATATATATATATATATATATATATATATATATATATATATATATATATATATATATATATATATATATATATGTATATATATATATATATATATATATATATATATATATATATATATATATATATATATATATATATATATATATATATATATATATATATAC